AGGAGTGAATCCAGATTGCTCATGCCTCTGATGCCTCAGTAGGTGGTCTCTGATACGTCTCAGAAGGAAGTGGGCGAGAGCCTTGCCTGATATACTGAGCAGTGTGATGCCTCGGTGGTCCCCCTTCTCCTTAAAGAGAGTGATGATTGCACCCCTCAACAGGTCAGGGGGAATGGTACTGGACTGCCAGATCGCAGCCAGGACAACATGCAACCCCTGCGCCATGGATTCACCACCAGCTTTTAACAGTTAAGCTGGGATACCGTATATACCTGCTGTTTTACCACTCCTCACCTTGGAGATCGCCTCCTAACTTCAGTTAGGGAGGAAGGATCCTCACAGATGAATGGGTCTGGCAACAGAATTTCGGCACCACCCGCATCCAAGTTAACTCTTGGTGGGTCAACCTGGTATTACTGCTCAAAATACTCAGCCCATCACTCCCATACCACAACAGGATCTGAGACAATCTGCCCACTTACTAAGCGAACCGCTATCACCTGTGAAGAGGGCTTTCTCAGGGCTTGGTTTGCAGGACAAGGGTCATTTACTAAGAAATGGCCTTCTACTTCCTTTGCAAGACTCCTATCAAACTGTTCCTTGTCGCTTCTTAACAGTGACCGAGTTCAGCATTCCTGAGAATGGTGCAAATCCCAATCCCCTGTCAAATGAGCCGCACAACCATCTGTGGTGTCCAGTGTCTCCTGTAATATAAAATTCTGTCTTGGTCTTAGGCGTTCACCAATCGTTTCTTGAGCTACATCAAGCATTTCGCATTTGAAGGTGTCCCACAGAAGTACAGGGTCCATCAGACTGTCAAGCGCTGTGAAAGGACTAGAAACTTCCTCAGCAAACTCCTGGACACATTCACCCTCCCTCAGCTTTTCCAGGTGAAACACCTTAGGGTGATAATTGAACTGCTGGAGAGTTTTGAAGTGGACCCGGAGGGTAGCCACAACCAATCTATGGTCAGTACCACAGAACTTAGCACTCTTATACACCCTGCAGATCTGGAGGATCCTCCAATGAGTGCTAACAAGTATGTGGTCGATCTCCTTGGTTGCATTACCCACATTGCTGTACCATGTCCAATGATGTGGGTCTGGGCACTGGTGCCAAGAGCCAGAAATCCTCAATTTCTGGGACCTAGCAAAGCCAGCATCAGCTCCCGAACCATGGGGACTGACAGACATCTCATAGCCAGCTCGATCACAGCCAGATACCGCACTTAAGTCACCCAGAACAATACAAACATCTTGCTGGAGACACCTGTCAGACACAGATGCTAGTTTGGCATACATCTCTTTCATGTCGAGTTTACCTGTCGGACACAGATGCTAGTTTGGCATACATCTCTTTCATGTTAAGTTTACAAACATCAGTAGAACATACACAGCAATAGGAAACATGAAGCCAAATGCTAACTTCAGTCTCATTACCATTATATGCTCATCGACTGGAGTAACCTATACTACCGAGGGCTTGAGTCTGCTTGAGATGGCTATGGCTACTCCCTGGAGATGATGACTGTCGCTGCAGCCCGACCAGTAATAGGTGTAGCCACCTACTCTGATTGTGACACTGCCAGGTCTTTTCACCTCCGAGAGAGCAGCCACCTTAACTTTCAGCCTCCCCATTTCCCTCAACAACAGAGGCAACCAATCATCCTGACGCAAAAAACAGATGTTCCAAGCCCCCACCCTGGCCTCCCGCCTGACTGCCTTGGGCAGTCACTCCGGGTGGTCACCACCTCTGCCACCCCCGCTTGACGCTGCTCCTTATAAAAGGGGGCGGCAGTCTGCAGGACCCATCATCCACCTGCGGGGTTTCCTTAGGCTTTTCCCCTGCAAGCTTCATTCTGGGCTGGTGGCTGCCAGAACGCAGGTGGGATGAGTAGTTCCATTCCCATCCTGTATCCCAGCAGCTACCCTCCAAACAGGGCCCACAGCCCGTCCCTCGGGCTGGGTGGAAGGGACATTTCCCCTCCTCCCAGCATTTCCATTTACACAAAACACTGTCGATGAGATTTATCTGGGGGGAGGAGGACTGGCAAGGCCCACCTCTTCCAAGCCTCCCATTAACCCCAGGGGACCTAGGGGCAGGAGTTGGTACAGGGCCAAGGCGTGTCCAAACACTGATGAGCCATGACCCTGTACCTCCAGGGCCTCCTGCTGCTCCGAGATCCCCCACAATTTAGCCTGGAACTGCAAGGTACCCAGTTTCCATGGAAGGCCACGAGGAGACACTGCAGAAGTCTCGATGATGGAGAAGCTGTGCAGTGGCAGGGAAGGCTTATACTGAGCTGCTCCCTTTTTCGCACTAGACCGTACATATAATATATACCTTTTACACACATACCCTATACAATTATACTAGACCACATGTGCCAAGCCTTCCGGCCAACACATCACTAGATACGGCATTGCATAGGCCTCCTGCCTTGTGACGTCACTCTGTTTACACTAGCACATTCTTTTCTCTCTCTCCTCCCGCCCCTTATATGATGCTATTACCTAACCACCTTCTCGATTAGATATTTATTAAGAAGGTCATGACAGACATAGCAACCTGGTCAGACCGAACCTCTGTCTACCAGCTGTATCTCTCCTGTCACATAAGCCTCCAAAGTTACCAAAACGTCTGCTGATTTCTCTCCATCGCCGTGTTCACATGTTCCTGCCAGACACAACTGTCTGCACTCTGACCGTAATTCAGCCATTACAGAGAGTGAGAGAGATAAATATCATCATCGCGGAGCTGACGCCGACGGGGGCGCATAACCGCATCCATCCATCTGCAAGGGTCCTTCATGGCAAGCCGCCAGGCAGGCGCTCGGCCCATCTCAAGCTCCTCACTACAGGTTTGATTGATCTGCCCAAGCCACGACTTCCTAGGTCGTTCCATGGGTCTCCTCCACACAGGTTGTCCTGAGGGAAGCGAGCCAGGTGGCCATAAAGCCTGAGTTGGCAATCACAGATTGTGCAGGACCATGTGTCAAACCAACAGTACCCCATGATCCGACGCAAGGACCTAGTACAAAAGGCATCAAGTTAAGACTCCAAGGCGCAGGATAGTGTCCAGGTTTCACTACCATATAGCAAAACTGGCACTATCAGGACCTTGAAGACACGAAGTTTGGTCCTTCTGCATCTCCAAATACTCTTGTCGTGTGAGTTCATGACCCTTTTTGTCAGGCCAATCAGTCTGCTGATTTCCTGGTCTGACAGACCAGAGTTATGAACTACACTACCAAGGTATGTAAAGCTCTCTGTGACTTCAATGTCTGTGCCACAAGCACGTACCAACTGAACAGGTTGTAGTAAGTCCCCAAGGTCCTGGATCTTGGTCTTGGTCCAGGAGACCTCTAAATCGAAGGACTTTGCTTCATTACTAAATGCATTGAGAGCCACCACTAAGGATTCCAAAGACTCAGATAGAAGAGCATCATCAAAGTCAAGGTTGGTAACCTTGATATTGTCCAGACTTGCTCCACAATGACTTTGAACAGTAGCTCTACCCAGTATCCAGTCCATGCAAGTGTGAAAAATGTAGGTGCAAAGACACAGCCTTGCCTCACTCCTGAACTAACAGGAAAGAAGCTTGAAAGGCTCCCACCACACTTTACAGCACTTTCAGTACCAGTACACTTTCTATTAGTCCAATAATCCTTGTTGGAATTCCACTGTCTCAAGATCTCCCAGAGTGATTCCCGATGCACCATATCGAATGCCTTCTTGAGGTCAATGTAGGCTGCAAGTAGCCCACGTCTGAAGGCACGACGGCGCTCTGTAATGACTTGAAGTGCTAGGGTGCGGTCTATTGTGGACTTACTAGGAGTGAATCCAGATTGCTGATGCCTCAGTAGGTGGTCTCTGATACGTCTCAGGATGCGGGCAAGAACCTTGCCTGGTATACTGAGCAGTGTGATGCCTCGGTGATTGCTGCAGTCCCATCGGTCCCCATTCCCCTTCCAGAGAAGGATGACCACACCCCTCAACAGGTCAGGGGGATTGGTACCAGATAGCCAAGTAGCATCCAGGACAACATGTAACCCCTGCACCATAGGTTCACCACCAGCCTTTAACAGTTCAGCTGGGATGCTGCATGTACCAGCTGCTTTACTACTCTTCAGCTTGGAGATCGGCACCTAACTTGGTTAGGGAGGGAGCATCCTCACTGATGGGTGGGTCCGGCAACGGAATCTCGGCACTACCCGCACTCAAGTTATCTGTTGGTGGGTCAACCTGGTACAACTGCTCAAAATACTCAGCCCAACGTTCCCGCACCGCAACAGGATCTGAGATTATCTGGCCACCTACTGAATGAACTGCTGTCACCTGTGAAGAGGGCTTGGAGTTCAGCTTTCTCAGGGCTTAGTATGTAGGACGAAGGTCATTTACTAAGAAATGGCCTTCTAACTCTTCTGCAAGACTCCTAATAAACTGTTCCTTGTCCCTTCTTAACAGTGACCGAGTTCTGCACACCTGGGAACGGTGCAAATCTTGATCCCCTGCCAGACGAGCCACACAACAAGCATCTGTAGCATCCAGTATCTCCTGTGAGATGAAATTTCGTCTTGCTCTTAGGCGTTCACCAATCGTCTCTTGAGCTGCATCAAGTGTTTCACGTTTGAAGGTGTCCCACAGAAGTACAGGGTCCGTCAGATTGTCGAGCGCTGTGAAACGAATAGAAACTGCCTCAGCAAACCCCCGGGCACATTTCCCCTCCCTCAGCCTGTCTAAGTGAAACACCCTGGGGTGATCATTGGACCACTGGGGGGTTTTGAAATGGACTCGGAGGGTAGCCACAGCCAATCTATGGTCAGTACCACAGAACTCAGCACTCCTGTACACACTGCAATTCTGAAGGATCCTCCAACGAGTGCTAATGAGTATGTGGTCGACCTCCTTGGTTGCATTTCCTGCATCACTGTACCATGTCCAGTGATGTGGGTCTGGACGCTGGTACCAGGAGCCAGAAATCCTCAATTTCTAGGACCT